ATCCCTATATCTTTAAACCAGGACCTGTAAATTGAATAATTCTTCTCTTGTTCCAAGGTAGTTTCTGAAACCAAACTGTTTTTCGCTTAGTACTTATATTTGGCTGTATATTCTCGAGTGGAGTATTCTCAAGAAAATTTTTGGTAGGTTAAGTTTACCGAAAGTACAAGCTAAATATAGCCGCAAATGTCAAAAATATTTGGGTTTGGAAGTGTTGGGACGTTTTTATAATGCATATATTATATGTTTCAAATATAAAGAGAGAAAGCTCTTAAAAAGTGCATTTGATCATACTATTTTATGAATTGTATAATAAAATAATAACGAGTAAATATTTGTCTCTTTCGTGATTAATTGCATACATCTGTTGCAATCTGGCAACTGCTGATTTGACGATTGCTAAATCAATCCACTAATCTATCAAAGGGTAATTGCCAAAATAATTAACTGCAATTAATCTCCAAAGAAACGAACATTTACTCATTCTTCTTTTATATAATACAAAAATTTCAGAATTTATAACATAATAAAAACAAAATGTACTTTTCTAAAGCTTTACCTTTTTATATTTGAAGCATACAGTATCTACATTATAAAAAAACATGCCAACACAGCTACACTGAAATTTTTTGTTCCATGTTTGACATTTGTGGCTATAATCAGCTTGTACTTTCGGTAAACTCATATTGCGATGATTGCTACATTGTTTAGCGTTTTTTGTTTCCAGTATTATTCCAAGTGTTGACAGTAGTCAGTCTGTTGGTATATGCTCTTTCTGTTATATTTTATTAAAGAGTTTTAAAACAAGAGAATATTTGCCTTTATCGTCAAGTAGTTTGATTATTTAGCTGGCAATTTCATCTAAACCCGTTGCTTTCCTATTCTTTAATAGCTCTATATCTCATTTCATTTTATTAAATTATGTTTGGACACCCTGATATATTTTCGATTTGTATTTCTGTTCTTTCGCCATCAAACAGTTTCTCAATATATTCCCTACACCTCTCCAGTTTGTCTTGTTCATTGACTATGAACCTTGTTATCTATACATTTCCTTGTTTATCAAGTAAACTACTTGAAGCTGACCTATAAGGTCCAGTTATTTCTTACACTTCTTTGTACACGCCATTCTTTTTCTTCAGTTTTTCTATTTTAATACATTTGCTACTTTTCTAGTTTTTTTTGCATCCCGGATTCTCCTTCTGATTTCTTTATTGATTTTGTTTTATTTTTTAGTGTTTTTATTTTTCTGTTCTCGTCTCTTTTCCATTAGTGTCAATATTTTAACAGTAATCCACTGTTATTTGGCTTTATTAATAATTTTATACATTTTGGCTGTTTTTTGCATGATGGTTTTAATCTGATCAAGTGATCTTCGATGTTATGTGCTTCTTCCGATTTTTTGAACTTTTTTTCTGTCTCGTGTATTATTGCTTGGTCATCATCTCGAATACAGTCAGGCTTTATTCGGTAAGTCAGTTTTTGGTTTCTTGCCATTTTTAGTTTGAGTTTGATGTCGGTGATTAATAAGTTACGATCTAAGGAGACATCTGCTCTGGGTAGTGTTTTAGTAATTTTGATTGAATTTCAATATCAATTAGTAATTGTTATATATTCGATCTGATTTTTATGATCTTCTCTTCAGTATCTGCTGGGTAACATCTAAGTGTGTAAATGACGCTTGGGTAGAAGAATGTATTTGTCACACATAATATGTTGTCTTCACAGAACTATACAAAGCGCTCCTCTGTTATAATGTTGTCTAAGTCCGAAATTGCCTGCAATGTTTTCTCGTCTACCTTTTTCTACTTTGGCATTGAAGTTCCCGATTATTATACTTTTGTCTTTGTTTGTCGGATAACTTATTACCCTCTTTACTACCCACTACTGCTCGCTGTGGCTGGATAAACTTGGACCAGCTTTGAGTTTATTGCATCATAATGACTCTCTCCGAAATGTAACTTACAGATTTAATACAACTAGCGACTCCTTTATGTACAATAAATACCACGCCATTCCGGTGATTATTGCTTTTTTCTCTGAAGTAGAATACGTTGTAGTCGTCTATGCTACATTTATTAGTTCTCGGCAAGCGCATCTCATTTATCCCAAGAATTGGTATATTGCTAATGAAGCTAACTAAAGATGTTCTTCTTCTTCCTGGACCTCGCTTTCCATATATTTTAACTTTCAGGATGGCTTGAAGGAGAGAACTTTCGAGATTTAATGGTGGTCGATACCCCTCGGTTCTTACCCATTCCTCTGAGGACCTCCTCATTTGTGACTTGGTCAGTCCACGGGATCTTAAGTATTCTGCGATATAGCCACATCTCAAATGCTTCCAGTTTTTTGCACATATCTTCGTTCAAGGTCCACGATTAAACGCCATAAAAAAGGACAGAGAAGACGTAGCATCGCAGCATTCTTACTTTTGTATCAAGAGAGAGGTTGTGACTCTTAAAGAAGGCCCCCATCCGATTGTAGGTGGATCTAGCTTTTGCGATGCTTGCTCTAATGTCCTGGTTGTTATGGGGTGTCTCCTGGGTGTGCGTCAAGAGTGACGCGATGGCTTTACTCCGAGATATTTAGTAATGTCACTTTCAACCATAGCCTCGATTATTTGGCCATTTTGCGTATCGAATCCTCCGAGCTGAACTATTTTATATTAATTTGCATTATTATTTGTTTTAGTTTGCACCTTCTCCAGCTGTTCATAAATATGAGACATCAAAACAAAAGGTATTCTTAAAAAATCAGCCTTTATACAACTCGTCTGCAATTTCAAATAATACTAATAGACTAGGCCAAAACCGTTGTAATCCGCACTGTTCAACTACATGTAACCAACCACAAAATTCTCGTATGGCCTATTCGTATTATTAGAATCTTATACACGTCTCTATAAAATCAGTGTTACCTTAACAAATTACTGTTTGTTGGAAATGAACCAGATATTTTTTATTAAGTTAATATTTTATTATACATTTGTGCCACATGTGCAAAATTAAAAAAATATTCAAACCTTTGTTAGTTTTTAACTTTTATTCATCTTTATTCGTAGTGTTTTTACTCATATCCTTAATATGTGTGATACACATTTATTTTAATAATTAATGTAACTTTTAATTCATTTTACTTAGTCCTTTTACTTTTCGGTTTTCTTTTCTATTTTAATTTTCTTTATATATTTGTTATTAATTTTTTTCTATCAACGTTTTGCTCTGTATTTTTCTTATTAACGTTTATGTAATATTTATGTCTACAGTTTAAAAACTAAATTTTTACAGGATCCTGACCTGGAGCTTAATCAGTACAGGAGGCTCTTCGGCTCTTCGTATACTTCGAGTTAAATATTCCCGTTGAAAAATTACAAGAGTGAGTTATGAAAGTTTCTAAGTAAGAGTTACATCAGAGACTATGTAAGTCAGATTAGATTACATCAATTACCCAACTGATCTTACAGTGGTTGATCGAGTTCACGGTTGCAGTTGACTAGGAAAAACTTTGCTGTGTCACAACATCATGTGCAAATTTTAGTACATTAGCGTATAAAGCTAAGTAAGCTTTACATATCTCTAAATCATTGATGGATTCGACCGTTACTTGATGGAAATTCATTTTATGTAACAATAAAACACTGAAAACTTTGTTTTCAAACTTCCACAAAATTTATTTTAACTATTATCACTACAGCTGTTTCGGCTGATTGCCTTTCTCAAGTGATCTATTTTTGGCATGCGTTTACAATTTATAGTCTCTAATGAAATAGGTTGAGGACGGAAAAACTGTTTGTCTCAAGTTTTTCATTCAGAATTATATATATGTTTTTTTTTAATTTGTTGATTTTCATAGATTCTAACAAAGATAGCTTAAGGCCTTTATTTTGAATGTGATGAATTTTAAATTTGTCATTAACAGAATGATTATGATCTAGAAGGTGAAGTGCGTATGTCGAATCTCTTTTTCTATTATTGAAAACCATTTTATGTTCTGCTATTCGTTTATTAAAGTTTCTACAAGTTTGACCGATGTAAGTTTTTGGGCAGTCGCCACATTGAAGTTTGTACACACCACTATTTAAGTGTTTCTTATTTTGGCTCTTGTTATTTTTAATATATTTGCCTAGGTTGTTATTTGTTCGGTACTGGGTTGTTTCTCTGGTGGTGGAAATACTAATTTCAGGCCGTTCTGGTATAGTTTTTGATTTAACATTTTATTAATTGTTTGTTCATTGTATCCGTTGTTTACTGCTATTTGCTTAATTATATTTAATTCTGTCTCAAAGTTGTATTTTGACATCGGAATTTCTGTTAATCTATGTAACAAACTATGATAAGCTGCCAGTTTATGTTGTGTTGGATGGGATGATGAATTGTGTATAGTCGTGTCAATATGTGTAGGTTTATGAAATATGGAGAAGTCATGTTTGTTTTTAAGACTGATAATTGGTGGAGATAGGTAGACGACGTACTGGTATGTTTCACAGGAACTAACAGGCAACTCGACCAATTTTTATCGTATATTAATTCACCTCATAGTCATATTGAATTTACTATAGAAACAGAACAAAATCAATTCTGCAATCAATTCTGCAAACCGCTGTAGTGATAAACTTTGTGGAAGTTTGAAAACAAAGTTTTTAGTGTTTTATTGTTACATATCTCTAAATCCTTTAATTTAGGGTTAAGTATTGGTTAGTCCTACAAGAACCGTCAAGAAAGATCCTACAAGAACTTTTAAGAGTAAAAAACATATTCTGTTTTAGTTCAGTTACTTAAAACTAAGTTTTAATGGTCAGAAAATTAAATTCGGTAAATAATTAACTGATATAATTTGAAATTAATGTTTTCCCGGCATTTGGACTGAAAGTTTTGTAGGAGTTTAAGGATATAACTAAGTTATCTTATCGAGAACCTATCGTTAATTTAAATTTTATCCATCAGAAGATATTTTGCAGAGTGAAGGAGACTTCAAGCAGGCAAATAGACATTACATCATGTACTAGAACATTCTACAGAACTTTATTTTTGCTACCTATCTAAAACAGCACTGTTGACCTATACTTATCACAATCGTCGTAACCGCAATTATAATCATCATTACACGAATCGTCATCGGAATATTCATAGTTATAATTTATATAACTCTGTTGAGCTTGATATGTTTTCGGCGGCTGTGTTTGTTGTTGGCCTGAAACAAAGAAAAGGTAAAATTCTATTTTAAATGCTGAATCAATAATACATGTAAGTGCATTTCTAAAAGGATTAAAAGAATAAAAAAGAAAAACTTTTGTTTAATAATTACTAGACGACCCGGTTTGAAAATAGTTTTCTAAATAATTTATAAATTAGGAAATAATTGTGCTAATCTGTAAATGTTTATTATTTGGCGCTTTTTGACAACCAACTTGACAGTTCGCTACTGCGCGAGAAAAAGTCATAAATGAAAAAAGTCATAAATAACAGGAACTTATTTGTGGAAAAAGGGATAAGTTAACATAAACAATATCTACCATGTTTTGTGTATGGCATTCCATGTTAAGTCACATCAAATTCAATTTAACATCGTGAAAAGGGAGTTGTGTCTACTTGACTTCTTGTTCAGAATAATGTACTGATACACACGAATAGTGAAAAACGAGTTAACTCGACATATCTCGTTTTTCACTTAAAGTACTGTAAACTGTTTACATATGACAACTCATTTTTCACTACTTTTGATTTTGTTGTACCATATTCTTAAACCCAGCGCAAGCGCATAAAGGCGCAAATCCGTCAGTCTCCTAACCTACCCTACCCCAATCACATAAGATCACGTGCCGGCAGTGAATTATATGTATTTTAAATGCTTAAAGATGTTTTCGAGAGGGCAAATGTTAGTGGAAATGGTAAAAAGTGCTTCTTATGGTAAATAGATTTACATATTGTCTCTTGAAAGTTTTAACATGTTATAACGTTAAGTTAATGAAGTGTTAGACCTGTGGCTAGAAGGCAAAAGGGGATAACTCTCATTTGAAAGTTTTTCAGTAAAGAGATTTTTAGTTTATGTGGTTTTCATGTTACCTTATAAACGTAATATTAGTAACGTTTGTATATTCCTAGATCTGACTTACATTCTGTTAGATATATTTAAGTCATTTTTCTTAAATTAATATCTATGTGTCCAATATTTTAATAAATTAAAAAAAAACATGTAGGATATATTTATCATTTTTAATTATTTCAAGAAAGCATAAGTCAAGTTATAGTTGAAATGGACATAAAATCATCTTGGTAAAGGGGGTTATGTAGATTTATACCCTTATGCTCGGTAGTAACTTGGTTAACATTACATGTGAACTGTAGTGTTAACTGCAGTTATTTCTATTTACAATGGGCAACCACAGTGAAGCAAAGAAAATATTTTGTTTTGGATATAGCATTGACAGAACAAGAAATAAAACGTAAACTTTTTTAAAAACTTTATTAAACTAGGATATTTCTACAGCAATCTGATGATACGTTTAAAAATTAACAAAAACAATTTGATAAACACAAATATTTTTCGAAAGCTGTTCCTCTAAAATAATAAATTACATAAATATTTGTATTAGAATATTTTATTAAAAATCGTAATCACTAAAATAATTATCTATATCTGGATCTGTGTCATCAGTATTATCCAGATCTTGTGAATTTCGTGGGATTTGGGCAGGTCCACGATAACACTCTTTGGCACTCTCATCAACTAACTCAATAAGGTCTAAAAGATCGCTTATTTTTTTTTTCACGTATCTGACTTGGCTAATTATACAAATTATTTAAATTAATGTTCTTGATATCTATGGGTGTATCTTTTTTTGACTTCTAAAATTTATTTCTTAAAATGGCTCATATTCCTAAATCGATGGTTTAAAATTAATAATACCAAATTCCTTGGTGTCTTAGCCATTTCATATTTCTCCAGCAAATTTCAGTATTATTCTCTGTCTTTTTCTCTTTATTAACATTCCTTTGAATAAATTTTTAAAATGAAAAAAATATTTGGGGTCATTTCAACTACCGTAAACTTATTTTTTTCTCTTTGGTTTGTGTTTTTGTTTAGCGGTAGTAGTACATTTTGTTTCTGCAGATCTTACTAAGTTATACCAATCTCTAGGTACATGGATAGGAAATGGGCATTTTTTTTTAATATTTCTATTGTTGCGTGATCTACGTCACACTCCATGTGAGTATGGCCAGGCACTAAAAATTTATGATCAATTACCTTTAAGTTATTATTTTGATTTAATAAATGCGTAAACATTGCTGCCACAAATAAGTTTTTATTTTGGTCGCCACAAGTATCACTGTGTAAAATGACGTGCTCTATTTTAGAAGGTAAATTAGCAAAACTCTTAAATAAACAAGAAGCACCTCGTTCCGCGATACCTTCATGCCACATATAATGAGTGGAGACTTTTGCAGAACAATTAAGAATTGTTAAGTTATACGTATTTAATTGTCGTTTGTGTTGTTGTTTTTAAGTGAGGTGTAGGAAGAACCTGTTGTAAGTCAAAAAAAAAAAATATTTTTTGACTTTCGCTGTTTATACATTTTAATTTTAAATTAAAAGCCAGAGAATACCAGATCCAGATATTTATATGTTTCGTCGATTATACAAAGGTCTTTGATAATGTTAGATGGGACAAACTATGGAACATATTGACGACAATGGGTGTACCTAAACACTTGACTCACCTTATTAGCAAACTGTATCAAGATAACCTGGCATATATTCGAATGGACGGGTATCTGTCTGACAAATGCACTTTGGAGAAGGGAGTACGCCAAGGATGCGTTTTATCTCCCTTATTATTTAACATCTATTCGGAGTTCATAATGCGCAGAGTTTTGGATGGTTGGGAGGGAGGAGTAAACCTAGGTGGTGTTAAGATATCTAACTTGCGTTTCGCAGACGACACTACACTTCTAGCCTCTACTCCAGGAGAAATTATTAAATTATTAAAAAAACTCGAGGTAGAAAGTGCTAAATTTGGACTCATGGTTAACTACAACAAAACCAAAATCATGGTTATTGATCGCCAATAACAGTTTCCTGAAACCCAAACTATTGCGGGATGCGAGGTAGTCTTATCTATGATAAATCTTGGAGCTCTAGTTAACAACACAGGCAGTTGTGAATCCGAAATTAGAAGACGCATTCAACTAGCAAGAGCAGCAATGAGTGAACTAAACGGGGTCTGGCGTGATCGTCACATTACTATGACAAACAAAAAGAGACTCGTTTCAACTCTGGTCTTTTCCATATTTTACTATGCATGCGAGACATGGACAGTCAAAGAATCAGATCGACGACGTATAGACGCCTTTGAAATGTGGACATGGAGACGCCTGCTTCGAATTCCATGGACGGCTCGCCGTACAAATATCTCGGTTCTGGATGAAATTAAACCGGATCAGCATCTCTCCAGTACCGTTTACTCTAGAATTTTAAAGTTCTTTGGCCATATCCATCGAAGTGATCACAAAATGGAGGGGTTGGTGGTCCAAGGAAGGCCTCAGACTCAACGCCAACGCGGAAGATCTCCACAGCGATGGGCGGACATTACTAAAAAGCTTCTCAATAAACAGTATACTGAGGCAATACATATAACTAATGACCGCGACCAGTGGAGAAATATTATCAATCAAACTGTCCGAGCTGCTGAAGCCCAATTATGAACCACAACACATCTACTAAGATGTTAATGACTGTGATGATGACATTTTAATTTGCCTAATCTCTTTGGCTCATAAGTAGGTTTAGCTTCTGTATGGTAATCTGCTAATAAATTTTCCTGCTTTTTGTTTTCATCAGCTGTCTTATGATTGTGAAAAATATCACAATTGTTACAGGTATCGTTGCCTGGTTTTTTAAACTTTAAGCCTAATTAGTTATCGATTGTTTGAGAGTAAAGTTCATAACAAACCGGTTCAGATGTTATGTCCTGGGTATTCAATTGACACATCTTAGATTTTGTTAATTCTGCTACTAGATTCTTTTTACTGGTAGGTTTTCGTGAGTACTGAGACTCATATGCAGGAAATTTTCATATGTGGCCATAGACGAGTTCCATTCTAGATTCGGAAATTTTGTTTTTTGGTTCATTCCTGCCTCCGCCATCAGCCATAGGAATACCACAGTTGGATGGCATTTTCTTTTTTGTAGCATTTTCTATAAATTTGTTACTTTCGTCAAAAATAGCATAAAAACACACCTTGCAGCATTGGATTCTTTCTCCTTGGAATTCTATAAAATATATAAAACTCATTTTCCTATTTTTTGAAAGTTTATCAGTATCACTTCTGTTAGTAGTAATCTTCTTGTCAGAAATTTGAATTAATGAGGCAATAAAACTTACCCTTGTATCGTAGTTACCCATTAACCAGTAACTTTAAAACAGAGACAATCTATGTTCATCAAATATCTATTATTTACACTTTTTTCTACAATCTCGCAATGTCCATGAGATTATAGCTTTTATTGCGTTTTATTTGTTTGTTTCATATCCTTTACACGTCTTGCGTAAAACCTGTCTATTTTTTCTTTTTCCTACTTTGCGGTTCAATATTTTGTGGATTGGTTGGCCATGTTCTTCATTGTTTTTAAAATTTTTTTCATGTGAGCCATTTTTCTACTGTTCGGTGTCAGAATAACTATGGTGGTCTTCTTGAATGTGATCATAGGCCGGGTCTTTTACGTTGCCGTCGGAGTCAAAATCTTGCTGTACATTTTCTTTTACTAAAAAAAATATGAAATATTGTGATCAATAATTAATAATGATACCATACGTGGTAGATATTTTGGTGAGTATTATTGAACATTTTTGTTTCTCAATATTGTCTTAAATTCACGAGATCAAATATCTTCGAAAATGCCCCGACAGTAAAGCGATGTTTGATCAAGTGGTATTTGCAGGACCAAATGGACGGAAAAATAATGTTAACGTAACTTAACCAAAACATCGCTGAGACATTTTTGATAATGCAGTGGTATTTTCGAAGAAGTTTAAATCTGATTGTTTAGAAGACTTTATGTTGATTGGTTAAGACTTTATCGACGTATACAATAAAAAAAATTAAAAAATTATTAGAAACAAAAATATTTACCATTGGTTAAAACAGTGTAGGATTTTTCTTTATCCGAATGAAAGGCTGGGTAGGTATGGACGGAATTTACTGATATTTCAGTCTCACGACAACGATTTTCTTTATTTTTATCTAGATAATTCCCTGCGAAACAAAATCACAAAATATTATTTAAAAAATTTAAATATATTGGCAATTAACTTACTTGTATTTGATGGCTTGTAATTATTATTGTCGTTATTTAAAAACCTTGATAGAAGCCCTTTAGTTCTTTCACGAATGGAGGAATAATAATTGTTATTTCGAGTTGTCATCGTAATGAACGTTCCTTAATAAAATTTGCGTGTGCTCTCTTCACAATCTTGACAAGTACTGACAAGAAACTGATACGAATATGATTTCCGTGGACACCGCATTCTTGCAAAAATAAATAACTTTGTATATCCTGGCAATACTTTCATATATATATTTCTTCTATCACATTCCGGCAAACGGGGATATCTTGATTTAATGTCTTTTACTAGCATAGATTTCGAATAATTCTCAAGTTAACATGACAAATCGTTTTGCTTCTCAGTTAATTTTATAATGTTAAAAATATATGTACATATATCATTTTACTAGTCATTACTATTTTGCTCTCCAGAAGATATCTTGAGTTATATCCTTAAAACAGTCGTAACGATTAAATTGTAGCCAAGTTACCCCTTTTTCAATAATAATATTTTAATTAATAAACTTTCACTTAACTATCTTTACCAAGATTGTGCAAAATCAAAAATATTGTCGAATTATATACATAACACTATTTTGCAAAAAATTGACTTATCCCTTTTTCCTTATAGCCACAGAGACGATAATACAAAAATTCCAACCACAAGTGTGCTCCTTGTGAAAATACAACTACAACCAAAAGGGTTAATGTATTAAACGGTATTATAGGATATCCTAGTAAATACTAAGCTTTATATTTAAAATAAGTTACAAATTTAGTATCATAACGTTTTACCACGTCAGATATATTTGCTTATTGAAATTTTTCATTTTTCAATTTTTTCTAAGACGTCGACTTCAAAAAACAAGTAAAAAAGGTCTAAAACACTTATTAAGGAGATACAAGCCTATTGAAAATCGATTGTTTTAAAACTTTTGATAATACACTCACCGGCAAAATTAACGGAACACCTTAAAATTGGGACATGTTAGATGTCTCGAATTTCCTAAACCTGTTGTCCGATTTTAGTGATTTTTTTAGTATGTTATAGGTATATTATTTAAGAATATCGATGTAATAATATTGTTGCTAGACAGGTCAATGTCATTTTATACCGGGTTGTAACAATCCTACTGTGTTTTTTCCTTAAAGTTCGGAACACCCTGTGGAATATTCTAGCATATATAAAATATTGAAATTAAAACTTAATTAAAGCCTTAGACTCTCTTAACATTTTCTTTTTTGATTCATTTGCTTATGTTTGATAATAAAAAAGTTAGGTACGTTAACAACTAGCCATGTTTTTCATCAATAAATCCTCATTTTCTGCTTACTTTAATAAACAAGCCTAAAGTAGGCTATGAGAAGTTAACAATTTAATACACACACCGGCAAATTTAAAGGAACCTGTTATTAATGCAATATTTCTTTATATTTGTATTTTATAGACTATATCTACATAGCTTTGAAAGCTCCTTGTCACAAGAAAGTCTTAAATGTCAAATTAATTTATTTATTTGTTTTGTGTTTTACATTTTACAGTCATTCTGTCTGTTCATAACAAGTACAAACTTGTATTTAATTAAGCGTATAGTTAGAAAGAGACCTAAAAAAGCCGGTCTCAGTCATATGTGCCAATAAAAGCTCCCAGACTCCAGAGACACCATCGTTTAGCACGACTACAATTTGGTCGAGTACATCAAAATTGAAATGATAACCACTGGAGTCAAATTCTCTTTACGGACGAGAGCCGTTTAAAAACGAGAGAGTGTAAATTACATCGACGGTAGAGAAAGATTGTATCAACGCCAAGGAGAACGAAATGCTCCTTTCAATTTTACTACGACCGTACCTTTTGGTGGAGGTTCAATTATGGTGTGGGGCGGTATATGTTTGGGAGCAATAACAGAGTTAATGGTGATTGATGATGGAGCATTAACAGCAGATAGATCTTCTTAAACAGGTTTTATATTGTACTACCATTGTAATATAAATTCAAAATACTTCACCAACATTCGTATTATGATATTATATAAACAGTATATAGACTAGAGAGAAAATTCAGATTTTATGGTTGTTCCTTTAAATATGCTGGTGAAACTAAGAAGAAAATGAGCATTTATTGATGAAAAACATGGCTAGTTGTTCACGTACCTAACTTTTTTATTATCCAACACAAGCAAATGAATCAAAAAAGAAAATGTTAAGAAAGCCTGAGACTATAATTGAGCTTTAATTTCAATATTTTATATATGCTAGAATATACCACAGGGTGTTTCGAACTTTAAGGAAAAAACACAGTATGATTGTTACACCCGGTATAAAATGACATTGACCTGTCTAGCAACAATATTATTTCATTGATATTCTTAAATAATATACCTATAACATACTAAAAAAATCACTAAAATCGGACAACAGGTTTAGGAAATTCGAGTCATCTAACATGTCCCATTTTTAAGGTGTTCCGTTAATTTTGCCGGTGAGTGTAGTTATAGGCAAATTACTAAGTAAGTAGTCTCATTCCGAGAGTGATTATCACACAGGGACAATGGCGGTGGAAACACCAAAGAAAAGAAAACAGAGACACCAGAAAAATACGAGAAGATAGGAAAACGAAGCGAAATTTGGGAAGAGAGTATGTAATAAAGAAGAATAAAACTGTGCGTGAGAAAAAATTAAAGAACTAGGACTCTGTAGAAATAAGTGTAAGAATAAGTATAATGATGAGGTAAGAGAAAATATATATAGAGAATTTTGGGGGATACGAGATTACAACAGGGGAACCCAATATATTGCTGATTTGATCGAACTATAAGAAACCAAAACTACTCGTACTCGGGTTGAGAATAGCCAACGTACTAGGTCAGGAACAGTGGTATATTTGTTTTGAATAAATAGCACTTTTTGCCAAACATGTAAAGCATGATTCGAAAATACGTACGATACAAGCAATAAGTTTATTGAAACCATCATTTCTAAAAAAAGTTTCAGGTATAGGCACGAGGGCATCATGGTAATATGGTAAGAGAAAGAATGTACCTGAGGAAAATAAGGAAGCGGTTAAACAACAAGTTCTTTCTATTCCTTCTTACGAAAGTCACTATACCAGAAAAAGGACATTAAAAAGATACTATCCATCAAGCTACATCTTAGCTGGGCTTTATGAGGCTTTTAAATTAAAATACCCTGAGAATATGGTTAATCGAAAACTTTATGAACAAATATTTTATTTCATGAACATAAAAATTAAGAATCCTAACTAATCCTAACTTTCTGTTAAGACCTACTACAATGTTTGCCAACACCAGATTTACAAAGTGGAGAAACGTTTTATAAACGACCAGTTTATAAAAGTATATCAACAGTCGTCAATCTAACAGTTTATGATTGCGATAATTCGCAAGTTTCTTGTTTTATTTGGTATAAATCATTAGCAAAAAGAGGGGTAAATAAAATTGGCTCGTGCATTTATAAATTTTTGCTAAAAGATTTAGAAAATGGAGTTAATCATGTTTTCATGTTGTCTAATTCTTGTGGGGGTCAGAATAAAAATTCTTTTATGTCGGCAGTTTGTCTTGTGGCTTTACAAAATTCAAATATAGAGATAACTGATCACAAATTCCTTCTCCATGGGCACATCCATATGGAGTGTGATACAGACCACAGTGTAATAGAGAGAAAAAAAAAGAAATTGAACATCCTCATGGCTGGGCTCAACTTATCCGCCAAGTAAGTAAAAAACGACTTTTTAAAGTTACCGAGATGGAGGGAAATGACTTCTTTAATTATGCAGAACTATTCATTTTATAGCTCATTATTCGAAAAGTAAACGATGTGGGAAATAAAATGAATTGGAGAGATGGACGCTGGATTCAATACGAAAAAGAAAAACAAACTGTTTTGTATAAAAATTCCCTCATCGACGACGAAGAATGAAGTAACAACATGTTAACACCAAAATGCACCAGATGAGTTGTTCCTATTACAGAATAAAAAAGAAACATTTAATGAATAGTAATGAAGGTAAGTAATGAAAAAATAGATGTTCTGCTAAATTAGTCATCTTCTGAGGAGGAATATTAGTACCTAGTTTATAATGTTTTTGGGAAATAGATCCTTTATACTGCAAAATTTTATGTCCTTTTATTTTTATTATCCTCAGTAAAAAAAGAAATGTCAAATTAACTGATTGTGAATGTCAGCGTTAGTCACTCAAAAGTCTGTGAAAAATGATATAAGTCAACATAGTCTTTGTGTAAAAAGATCTCTGTGAAAAAACGTATGTCAAACAGTTCATTGGGTAAAAAAGGGTTAAGGCAATCAAAAGTCTTGATACCGTAACTTTTTGTTTAATTTTCTATTGACCCTACTATTTGTTCAATGTTTCTACATTCTCTTGTAGAATTAAGGTATTACCCTACATATTTTCACCAGATTTTTAGTACACTACTAACACAAAAATTAACAAAAAACAATTTTTTTATGGTTTAAGCGTAAGATGTAATAAAAGAGAATAATTTATAAAGCCACTTATTCACTGGACTCGTAATCTAGTAGATACTAATAATAGTCATATAATTATAAAGGTGAGGCGTCAAAAAATGGTCTGATAATTCACTTTTCATATATATGTAGGTTAAAATTTTTAAAAAGTTAACAAATGTATTTGTTACCTGATATAGCTGGGCAAATAATACTGTGTTGTTCATAAGAATATTGGTCGGTACAATATTTAAGGGGTTCAGAATATTGTTGGTTAGCTCTGTAGTCAGATTGTTGATAGTTGCCTAAAAATATATGCTGTGTATAAAATAGGTCACATTAATATTCCAAAAGAGATTACAAATAAAATATTTTATTATAGTGTTAAGAAAAATCAAATGAAACCAAAAATTATATAACGCTAAAAAATATTTTAAATGATTGATTACTCTTAACATAAACGAATAAATTTAATAATTAAGTACCAAAAAGATTAAATTAAAACAAAACACGCTTAAAAAATCAAAAGAAATTAAGGTAAAAACAAAGATGATGGCTACTTCATCTATTTATTGAAGACGTTTTGCTTTCTAATCAGAAAGCATCATCAGTTCATCTAAACAGAACAATATGAAAAACCTAACATCCAAAGAAAAGTTATTAAGTGTGTTACTTCAAAAAGATATGTAGCAGTCAATGATATTAAAATTGTGAAGAAGCTTCTGACAAGGGACACTAAAGCATTATGTAGTATAAACAATTAATTAAACTAAATATAGTTAACAATTTTCTTAAACTTCGCATACCAAAAGAACATGTGGTAGTTGTACATGTATATAAAAAATGTATGTAAAAAATATAAAAAAAAAAACAGATTAACGTGAAGAAGAACTGAAAGGTCCAAGATGCACTTCCAACAGTAAATCAATAGTTAGGGTTTAATCTTGACTTTAGGTAGCATTATTAAAGTAATTAATTAAAATTTAGTAATTTAAAAGTATAATGCAGTTACCACTACAAGCTTCTAGTCTGCTGCCGGTGAAAAGAAGGCATCAGGTGTTGTAACGCCACCAACGTGAAAAGACAGATACCTTGAGGTCAACGCGTGACAGGTCAACAAGGCGTACTACCAACTCTAATACAATAGAGCGGTTTAATTAAAAAATATGATAAATTAGGTCGACAACCTGTCTTTATAAACCAAAAAATTAAAGGAATAGGAGGTTGATAATCCCCCCCCGTGATCGGTTGAGATGAACAAAATAACAAACAAGCGAGGTCAATCCAAAAAATCATATATTAATAGTCTACGTTGTGACTGGTTAGCCAACCACACGTGAAGATTGAATAAACTTCCAACAGTCCAAGGTTCATAACATTTGGAAGTGAAATTAATAAGGATTCTATGAATCGTTTATAATAAAAAAGTTGAATTTGATTAGAAACAATAAAAACAAATATACAAAAGCAACGTTGGTAGTAAGCCATGAAATGAGAGTTGCATAACTCTGAGATAATTTAAAGTAGACAATTAATATTATATTTTAGTTTATTTATATTTGAATATTATTTGAAAAGAAATTATGTAAAGCAAACACCGTAGGTGACAATTTTAAAGTAAATAACATATTAAGTCTAATTCTGCAATATTAGAGCATGATAAATTTGGCTCAAGTTACTAATGTCCGTTCTCTTATTAAGAGCGTTAGAGTGTTTTAGTATTGAAGACATTTCTAAAAACTGCCTTTTAACGAGATTGCGTTTAGAACCAAGAATCTTAACTCCATTAAAGTCTACTTTGTGTTTAGTGTTAATAGCATGCTGAGCAAGAACACAAGTGTGCTTAGATATTTCAGTGAGACTCTCAGTGATTTCCCAGTATCACCGATGTAGCACGAGTCACACTCAGCACAAGGTATATCATATATGACATTAACTTTTTTCAGAAGGGACAAGGGTGTTTTAGTTTTAGAAAACAAATTTCTAACAGTCTTGACATTCTTAACTGCAATTTTAACAGGTATGTTCTTCTGTTTATACAGTTTAAGAAGATTTTCAGTAACTTGAGGGATTCACTTACGAGTTTTATTTTAATAATTATATTATAGATATATTTAAGTGTGCATAGGCAACCAAATATACACTGAAAAATTGGCATTGTATTATTATGACATAAGTGAATTTGAAGTTAATAAATGACATTTTGAATAATAATTACGGATGTAAAATAATGTTATTTATTCATTTAAGATGTTTAGTTTATACATGTGTATATTCTGATCTGCAAAGCCTAAATGTCCAAAAAATTTAGAATTAGAAGGGTTAAGAATTTTCTAGAAAAGTCAATATAAGGCGTTAACCCTATTTGCATAGTAGAAGATTCGAGAATGTTCATATATTGATGAAATTCGAACAAATTCGAACATGGTTCATTGCTAGAATATTCGGGAACGATGAAAAGATATAAACACGATGTAATTTGGAGCAAATATTCATTCATTAATTGATTCATACATTAACACATTGATTCATGGATTAACACAGTATTAAGTTAGACAGTAGACAGTATGAGAGTAAATTAGAACATGTAACAATAAAACACTGAAAACTTTGTTTTCAAACTTCCACAAAATTTATTTTAACTATTATCACTACAGCTGTTTCGGATGATTGCCTTTCTCAAGTGATCTAGTTTTGGCAGGCATTTACAATTTATAGTCTCTATTGAAATAGGTTGAGGAGGGGAGAACTGTTTGTCTCAAGTTGGTCATTCAGAATTATATCTGTGTTTTTTAATTTGTTGATTTCCATAGATTCTAACAAAGATAGCTTAAGGCCTTTATTTTAAATGTGAAGAATTTTAAATTTGTCATTAAAAGAATGATTATGATCTAGAAGGTGAAGTGCGTATGTCGAATCTGTTTTTCTATTATTGAAAGCCCTTTTATGTTCTGCTATTCGTTTATTAAAGTTTCTATAAGTTTGACCGATGTAAGTTTTCGGGCAGTCGCCACATTGAAGTTTGTACACACCACTATTTAAGTGTTTTTTATTTTGGCTCTTGTTATTTTTAATATATTTGCCTAGGTTGTTATTTGTTCGTAAAGCTGGTGTTATTCCTTTCTTTTTTATGTGCTTGACTATTTTTGTCGTTATTTTGCCTGTATATGTAATCGAGCAGAAGGTACTGGGTTTTTTCTCTGGTGGTGGAAATACTAATTTCAGGGCTTTCTTGTGTAGTTTTTGATCTAACATTTTATTAATTGTTTGTTCGTTGTATCCGTTGTTTACTGCTATTTGCTTAATTATATTTAATTCTGTCTCAAAGTTGACATCGGAATTTCTGTTAATCTATGTAACATACTATGATAAGCTGCCAGTTTATGTTGTGTTGGATGGAATGACGAATTGTATGTAGTTGTGTCAGTATGTGTAGGTTTATGAAATATGGAGAAGTCATGTTTGTTTTTAAGTCTGATAATTTTTATATCTAAAAAATGTATGGATTGATTTTGTTCTGTTTCTATTGTAAATTCAATATGACTATGAAGTGAATTAATATACGATAAAAATTGGTCGAGTTGCCTATTGGTTGCTGTGAAACATACCAGTACGTCGTCTACGTATCTCCACCAATATAGAAATTGTTTGAATACGGGATGTTTTGAAATCTTTGTCTCTAGATGGTCCATAAAAATATCTGATAGTAATGGGCTTAAAGGATTGCCCATTATAACTCCTGCACTGTTATTTGTATATATTTGATCATTAAATTCAAAGTAGTCCTGGTTTATGCAAACTTCAAGAAAATGTAAAATTTTAGATGTAATTATTAGATTTGTACGATTTTTACTGTAGGAGGGATAGGAAAAGGATAGGAAAAAGATTTTTTACGTCAAATGAAATTAATCTGGAGTTGTTAGGCAATCAAAAATGTTGTATTGGTGGCGATACGTAGACGACGTACTGGTATGTTTCACAGGAACCAACAGGCAACTCGACCAATTTTTATCGTATATTAATTCACTTCATAGTCATATTGAATTTACAATAGAAACAGAACAAAATCAATCCATAAATTTTTTAGATATAAAAATTATTAAACTTAAAAACAAACATGACTTCTCCATATTTCATAAATCTACACATACTGACAAAACTATACACAATTCATCATCCCATCCAACACAACATAAACTGGCAGCTTATCATAGTATGTTACATAGATTAACAGAAATTCCGATGTCAAAATACAACTTTGAGAGAGAATTAAATATAATTAAGCAAATAGCAGTAAACAACGGATATAACGAACAAACAATTAATAAAATGTTAGATCAAAAACTACACAAGAAAGCCCTGAAATTAGTATTTTCACCACCAGAGAAAAAACCCAGTACCTTCTGCTCGATTACATATACAGGCAAAATAACAACAAAAATAGCCAAACACATAAAAAAGAAAGGAATAACTCCAGCTTTCCGAACAAATAACAACCTAGGCAAATATATTAAAAATAACAAGAGCCAAAATAAAAAACACTTATATAGTGGTGTGTCCAAACTTCAATGTGGCGACTGCCCAAAAACTTACATCGGTCAAACTGGTAGAAACTTTAATAAACGAATAGCAGAACATAAAAGGGCTTTTAATAATAGAAAAACAGATTCGACATACGCACTTCACCTTCTAGATCATAATCATTCTTTTAATGACAAATTTAAAATTCTTCACATTTAAAATAAAGGCCTTAAGCTATCTGTGTTAGAATCTATGGAAATCAACAAATTAAAAAACACAGATATAATTCTGAATGACCAACTTGAGACAAACAGTTCTCCCCTCCTCAACCTATTTCATTAGAGACTATAAATTTATAAACCCAAGCCAAAAATAGATCACTTGAGAAAGGCTATCAGCCGAAACAGCTGTAGTGATAAGATTTATAATAAATTTTGTGGAAGTTTGAAAACAAAGTTTTCAGTGTTTTATTGTTACATAAAATAAATTTCCATCAAGTAACGGTCGACTCCATCAATTAAATTAGAACAGTTAAACAGTTTTTGATTAAGACAGTTACAATTAGACAGTTAGTATAACAGTACGAGAGTGCATTGATTAGGATTAGACAGTTCAATATAGTTAAAACTTACAGTAAGACAATATGCAGTTAGTTAATTCCGATTTGCGGATCTTTTTGATATGTATATGTCACAAATGCTTGCCTATGCTGATAATATTAATATGGTTGGTAGAACGGAAAATGCGGTACAAGAGGCATATGTCGTTAAAAGGATCAGCTACA